TTTTTTTTTATTTATAAAGTTTTCCTGACAATTATTGGTCATTTAAACTTAAGGCTAAAAGAAATAGAAAGATATTTATAATTAATATTATTAATGTATGTYGCGTGCTCGAATTGCCATTATACTCTTCCATTATAGGGCAAATTGGCTACTGGGTAAGACCAGCGGGCGCTTCGCAAATATTGAATTTTAATTATTGTATTTATTATTTAATACTTGTGGACATTCGTTATGTTCTTCTACTACTCTTCTCATTATTATTTTCCATTTATTCAACATTGGTTATGTCAAGCAGGCACGTAGCTAAGGGGTGGCTGGGTGGCGGGTACCTAAAATATTTACAGGCCACCATGATAGCCACCACAGTATATTGTAGGATATTTGTTATTATTACATAATTATTCTGTGCGCCTGTATTAACATGAAGATTACAAATATGAACTTAACTGAAATTAATCAAAGGCCGTGTCTTTAATCGTGCTATCACAAGATAACGTGTTGACATTTGATAAGATTATAAATTAATAAACCATTATTTTGTGTTTCTAATTCCCAGGTTTCATCTAAAAATCCCCAAAATCTTAGAAAGTTAGAACATACACAATTAAGAATTGGTCTATAAATTATAATAATTTATAAAATATATATTTATTTTTTTACGCGGTTTGTGATAAATCGTTTAATAACAGCATTTTTAACAATTAAATTATTAATATTAATTAATATTGAGTTAATAAATTGTTCTTGACATAATTCACATAATATTAATGCTGAATTTAAACGTTGTATATTGTATTTGTAATCACGGGCGAATAGGCCATTTTTGGCATACCGGAAAATGTTAAAAAAGGGCCTCCACATGAAAAAAAATGTAATAATATATGATATTAAAGGGCCCCATTACCGAAATACGAAAGGGGGCCAAACGGAAATGCCCGGTTGTCCGGAAGGCTTATCCGCCTATGTTTGTAATCCACGAATGGCACGAATGCCAGTAATGCAACAATTATTGTGTTGATAAGATTTTTGTAACAAGAGGCGATTGGCAAGGGCTATCGTGAGATGCGCCTCGAGAACCAATATTGTCAACATAATAGGTACATAGTCTGTCATCAAAGAATCTAAGATCCAAGTGTCTAGTCTAGTCAGACCTACTTTGTCTTTGTCAGGATACTCTAGTGCAATGTATTGTGAATAGATATTTGCATTCAGTGTCTAATATCTATTTATACTTCAGTATTTCAAAATAAATTAATGTAATATTGGTAATATATATTGTCGTTGATAATGTGATAAGAAAACACGCGATAAGATAATAAAATTATAGAATAATAAACATTGTTGTAAAATCTTCTATGCATTTTTTTCATAAACAACATTAACTAAGAACAATTTATTTGTTTTGTGTCAGCATAAATACACTGAAATGTTAATATAATAATATTCTTAATTGGTTATGGATTTAAACAACAAATATCAAAATATGAGTTCAGATTCAGATTCCAAATCAAGTTCTTTGAATTCAAAAGTCGAACAAGAAGAATCAGTAAGTTAAAATGTTTCTTTATTTAAATATAAATTACCATAATATTATGAATATGTGCTTATATAAGTATGATTTTACTGTAAATAATTGGCTCATATGAATTTTTGTATTATACTTTCCAAATGTGCCTTTAATATACTTATCCTACAAAATGATTTTTAAATTAATTATACGTGTATTATCTACCTAATACAACTATTATTTTTATTAGGAATCAAATTCACCTACTAAAAGCCGTCGATCAACAAGTTCTACATCAAATGAAATTCCAACTGTAGGAGATATAAAATTAAGAAATAAAGTAATTTAATTTAAAAATAATAATTTGAATTCAACATAGTTTTGTACTTATTTGACAATATATATTTTTTTAAGTCATCGGAAAATGTTGCTTCTGGACGTTCAGATGATCCACCATTATTACTAGGAGAGAAAGTACAGGGTGTGGCTCGAGATGTCACTTATTTATGTCCATTTAGTGGTCCAGCAAGAGGTTGGTTATCTGTCACCAACTATAAATTATACTTTAAAAGTTTAGAACGCGATACTCAGCTAGTAATTGAAGTACCATTAGGTGTGGTTAGTATTTACTGATTATTACTTTAAGTTAAGCATAAAACTTCATACATTTGTATTACAAATATTAAAGTAATCCCATTTTTTAAATATAATATGGCAGGTGAGTAGAGTAGAAAAAGTTGGTGGTCAATCAAGCCGAGGAGAAAATTCATATGGTATTGAATTATTTTGTAAGGATATGAGAAATTTACGCTTTGGACATAAACAAGAGAATCATTCGAGACGTAATGTGTTTGAAAAACTTCAGCAATATGCATTTCCTTTATCTCACAATATTCCAATGTTTGCTTTTGAATATACTGAAACATTTCTAGAAAATGGTTGGAATGTGTATGAACCTATGGCCGAACTCAAAAGAATGGTAAATAATTGTACTCTACTTGTATAAGGTATTCATTTTAATAACTATATAGTATTATAATAGGCTTATGATTTTTTTAGGGTGTGCCAAATGATACGTGGCACATTACTAAACTGAATGATGGTTATGATCTTTGTGAGACATACCCTGCTATTTTAGCTGTACCAGCTGGAGCAACAGATGAAATAATAAGAAATGCAGCAGCTTTTAGAAGTAGAGGTCGAATACCAGTATTAAGCTGGTTACATTCCGAATCTCAAGCTACCATAACTAGGGCATCTCAACCTTTGGTAGGTGTTGGTGGAAAGAGATGTCGTGATGATGAGAGATATACTCAACTTATAATTGATGCAAATGCACAGTCACATAAACTTTATATTATGGATGCAAGACCCAGGTAATGCTGTTATAATTTATCAAACTATCAATAAAATTCTCATTCAAACGTATATATATATATGTTATAGTGCCAACGCAATTGCCAACAAGGCTAAAGGTGGCGGTTATGAACCAGAAGATGCTTATCAAAATGCAGAATTAATATTTCTCGATATACATAACATTCACGTAATGAGGGAATCCCTAAGAAAACTTAAAGGTATGTTGATTATATTTTTAGATGTAGTATTTTTTATTTTTAACTGTAAATACTAAACCGTGCAGAAATATGTTTTCCAAATATCGATGAAACAAAATGGTTGTCTGGAATTGAATCTACTTATTGGTTAAAACATATTAAATGTATATTGGCTGGAGCTTGCCGTATTGTTGATAAAGTAGAAAATCATAAAACTTCAGTTTTAGTTCATTGTTCTGATGGCTGGGATCGTACAGCGCAGGTAAATAAAATATAAAATCTGCATTATATTATATATGATTATATGAACAAAAATATACTATATTATATTTGATGTTTAATTTCATTAATATTGTTATGTATCAGTTGACTGCATTGGCCATGGTACTTTTGGACCCATATTATAGAACAATAAAAGGATTTGAAGTATTAATTGAAAAGGAATGGCTTAGTTTTGGTCATAAATTTCAACACGTAAGATTTATTATTTCTATTTATATGGTAGATTAAGTAATTAATTGTAACCTTAGTACCTCACAATATTTACTTAAACAAAGAAAAGTTTTCTATAATAAGTAATCCTTAAGATATTTGTATTACAGTAAGTTAAGTTGCACTAATGTACTCACTAATGTACCCACTACAGTAATTAACATTTATTAAGCATTTTTCAGTTAAATTAGTACAGAATAGGAAATTAAATTTTATTCTTTCATTAACAAATCAAAGAAACTCAGTATTTAATTAATACTGTGTTGAGATCTAACCTAACTACAGTATGGTTTTTATGATTAGAGAATTGGCCATGGAGATGATCACCATTCAGATGCTGATCGATCACCTGTTTTTCTGCAGTTTGTAGATTGCGTTTGGCAGGTGACATGCATGTTCCCAAATGCATTTGAATTCAATGAGTTATTTTTAATAACTATTATTGATCATTTATATTCTTGTAGATTTGGAACATTTCTTTTCAACAGGTATTATTATTATTGTTTTTGATGTTTAATTATTTATTGTACAATAATTATTATAGATGTAAATTATCTAAGTAAAATTAACTATTCAATATAATATGAAATGATGGTTACTTTAAAAGTTGATATCTTGGTTCATACTCTGTGTATCAACCAAAAATATTAGTTTGAATAATAATATGGAAAGAAAAAAATAGTTGTCACCATTCAATTGAAGTTAATTTGCATTTCTATTAATATGTCGCGTGCACGCATAAACACAACTATATGTAACATTATTTATTTTACTTAGTGAAAAAGAGCGTTTACAAAAAGAAGTGAAACAAAAAACAGTTTCACTTTGGTCTTACATTAACAGTGATCAAGATTTATACAAAAACCCTTTATACTGGCCTCAGCAACACGCCCTAGAACCAGTTGCTTCATTGCGATACATTAAAATGTGGAAAGGACTGTATTGCCGATGGAATCCAAGCATGAGACCACAAGTAATTAACTACTTGTTAATAATCAATTATGTTTTATTATAATTTGTATTAATAATTTCAGGAACCAATTCATCAAAGAACTAGAGAACTTCTACATATGAAAATGCAATTAATGAAAATTTCAGATGATTATAGACGAGAACTCAGACACAAAGCGTCTAGAAACACTTCTAGCAACCGTTTAACTTCTCCCATACACATTTAAACTATACAATTATGAATACTGCATTACATCTCATCAATTTGTTACATCTATTTATTTATGTTTTTTATTGTTATTAAAGAAAAATTTTAAATCATTTATGTTATTTATTTTAGTGAATTTAATCTATATTATACAATAATGAATTATTTCCAATTAATTATTAAGTTTATACATTATACRTAATAGAAATAAAATAAAATCATAAATATTTTTCAATAATTGTGTATTTATTTTAATCCATTCAAGTTATCTAAATGTTTACAAAATATTAAAATAGATCTAACTATTTTCAATTTTGTACTGATATACTATTCCCATTCCCAATTCCCATGACATTCGCTCGCCATTTGGGCGCCAGACAGTTGCCGCGCCTGGGCGCCTGGGGGCAGCCAGTAATCACCAAGTGGTTGGCTGTATTGTCACTAGAAGCGCTAGTAAGCAGTTAAAACTGTTATAGTGTTGGACGACTGCACCCGACTCCACGCGATCATCACATTTGTCATTTACCTCTTCGTGATTGGCCGTTGATATTCTACCGTATTTTAGACATTGTAATTTGTAATCAATTTTCGTTTTCTATGGAAATGGAATATGAACATGAAGTATGAACATTATGATTATGAACGGAGTTGTCAAAAGTAGAAAAGTCATCTGTGATTCGTAAACTGTTTACTATTTTGCGGCATGCAATAATCGGGCGTTTTGTGTTTTATCGACAACTATGTTGCAGTACGGCGGAGGCAAACCTGTTAAATGACTAAAAGAACATATTTATATTTTTCATGCTTTATTATTACTTGAAGTTATCGATACACCACTATTGTTCGTAATACGTTAGGTTAGTTAAGAGTCGATACACGATGGTGAACGTAGCTAGTCTAGTCAATTCCATTTTGGCGGATGATGGCTACAACGCACTGTCCGATGACACCAAGAGCAAGTTTGAGCAATATTTACGGAACCCTACTACAAGCCGCAATGAAATCGGGACAAATACTTTATGTGGTAAGTATTTTCGGTTTGTTGTGAGTAGTAGGATAATAGAAAAGATAGTTTTGAGCTATTTTTTTTTGTAACATGTGATTTGTGCACTAGAAACGAAAAACCAACCGGAAATTGATTTTGATATGCTCAATAACAGTACTAGTATTCGAGAAGCTAAGTTTTTGGAATTACAAAAAGAAATTGAGGCTGTTAATGAACAGTTTAAAAACACTTTGAAACAAAAACACGATTTAATGTTACACAACGATTCACTATTAAAGAATTTACATGAAGCTGAAGTTAGGTAAGATGTGATTAAAATTTTTTGAATATACTTAAGCATATTGATTTATAATAATTTTCTAGAGAAAGAATGGCTAAAATGGATGATGCAATATTACAGTTAAAAATCGATACTTTAACTGAAAGTTTATTGAAATGCACAAACAAATTCTCAAATCTTCATACAAAGTATCATAAAGAAATTAATGGATTAAAACCAGATTTAGATGAAAAAAATGCAGAGGTAAATTCAACAAGTTTTTATTACTGCAATACATTATTTTAAATTAATTTAAACAAATAACAGTGTTACTTGGTATATTCATTTTTAGAATTATTATGTGCTTAGTAATTATTTTTTTTTCATTGATATATGAGTAATTCATATACATTATAACTTATGTTGCCATATATGTTTAAGATTTTGGTGTTAAAGAATGAAGTCAATTTATTACAAATAAAATCTAAAAATCAAGAAGACACTATAAATATAATGAAACGTGAAATTGAAGATTTAAACCATATACATGCAAATGAAATGGAAAAAGTTAATAATGAGTTAACTAATAATCAAACTTTAATGAATCATTATAAAGGTAATATTTTTTAAACAGATGCCAAGAATTTTTTATTGTAATACCTTAATTTTTAGAATGTTATGAAAATGAACTCGAGCAAACTAAAAATCTAACAATTAATATAATGGAGAATAGAGACTATGTAAGTAAATTGACATCTTCCTTAAATAATATTGAGAACAAATTTTCAACACTTTCAAATGATCACCAACAATACAAGATTGACTCGGAGCACACAATACGTGTGTTAAGTAGCAAGTTAAATGCTTCAGAAGAAATAGTTAAACAAATACTTCCTGGTAACTTATTTTTATTTATCATTTAATTAAATTTCTTTAAATTACAAATTTTTATTTATTATTTGTTTTCTTGACTATTGTTAAATCTATTAAACAATACATAATTATTTGTTTTCAKACAAGAGTTAAATAACAATTAATAAACCCTGTCTTAATAACTATTACATATTGTATATAATATATACTAACAGGTTGTCTTCGCTCAGATTTGTCTTTTGTATGCAATGATTTTTTAACATTTTTAAGAGGACATTGTACCTACATATGTTGCCTCCATCTTAGATTTATATACATACAATATAGTAAATTTTTGTTTGACAGTTCCAGTAGTGTGCTGTTAGTTTTGATTTTGAAGTGAATTGATCTATTACTGTTTTAAGTGAGTTATGTATGAGTATTTAAAATGTTTATAATTCACTTAAAAATTTAAATACCATAAATAATCAATCTAGAAAACAAAGATGATGTCCGTACTTAAAAGCTTAATTATTGGTCAATTCTCTTAAAACCAACAGCACACTATTGAAATTGTGGAATGAACATTTGCCGTTTTGTATATGTACAAGATGAAGACGACATATGCTGGTAAAACTTCCTTTTAACACATTTGATTACCCACAAAAACATAATGCACAGCAAGGTAGTGCCAAATTGCCCACCTTATATATAAATATATATATTTTTATATACATCAAATGCAAATGTTTAGTTAATTAATTTGAAAAATATTTATGTTTTAGTTAATCCAGATAATTCAAATTATCTTATACACAAAGGAACAACAATTACTGATGTTTATGCTATTTATAAAGAGACCTGTTTAAGTTTACAAGATACAACACTAGAACTTGAACATTGCAAGAGAAACTTTAATATGTTAGAAGAAGTAAGAACTTAATATAAATAATATATATATATTTAATGTTTATATTTATGGGATTATTTGTCTTATTATCAACATTATTGTTATGTTGTTACTATTGTCATACTATTCATATATTGTTCTCTTATTGTCAAGTTGTTATGTCACAATGACATGGTCCTAAAATCCAGTGAACTATGATGTTGTGAATAGAGTAGTTTTAAACTGTGGCAAGTTCTTATAGTAATATATAGACTCATAATATTTGATCTATTTGTTAATATTTGTTAATCACCTGTATCCCATTAAAAAATTATGCAATACTCTAATAACTTCTAAATTTTGGGGCCTCTTCAGGTGTTGATTTGTATTAGTACTCATTTACAAATTGGCCGAAAACTTTCAATCCTATCCTCAAAATTAATTAGTTTTTTATTTTATCAAATCATATTTTTATTTTATTGTATATCAACAATTAGCTAAATAATAATACATTTAATTTGAATATACTTTTAAATAGAATTTTTATTTAATTTAATTATAAATTCTTGTAGCAAATTAAGAATGCTGCACCCGAAGTTGATCAAATGGAGAAAGATTTGATTGAATCAAATGAAAAAGTTAAACAATTATGTGAAACTATCTCAAGATTGGAGTTGAAGTTGAAGGATGTTAATAATAAATTAGAACTATCTAATACTAAATGTGATGAGTTATCAGAAGACAATAAAAAACTTCATAACATTGAAGAAGATTTGAGCAAACAAGTAATAGTTAAAAGTATAGTTTATTTTTATAATATTTGTATCTTAATTTTGTATTTAATATTTTTAGGTATGTTTCTTACTGCGTAATAATCAATGTGATACACAGTATAAAAATCGTAATGTTGGAACTGATATGAGTCCTCAATCAGTATGTATTAATTAATTAATTATTAATATAAAGTTTTTTTTTTAATATAATTAGTTTTTAGATCATTTCAAATAATTATGTTACATTTGAAAACATACAAGGCTTACAAAAACAAAACAAAAAATTACTAGAAATTGTTCGTTCTTTATCTAAAGCAAATGATGATAAAGATATACAATTAATTAAAGACTTAAAGGTTGGTACTTATTAAGAAAAATATTAATTTAAATTATTTTATGGCTGAGATATATTTTTTTAAATAGTTTTCAATAATTCTGCCTTTTATCAGTTTGAGTTGTGTGCCCTTTAATATAATATGTTATTTACGACATTTGTTTTAGGATGAAATTAAAATCTTGGAAGATAAATTAGAAACACAAACACAATTGGTTAACCAACAAAAGGTTAATAATAAACTATTTTATTTCTTAAAAATGAAACATTTTATAAATGAGTTATAACAATTGTACAATTAATTACTTTGTTATATAAATCTAACTAAATATATCATTTTAAATCTTTATGTTAAGGAACAAATATCACAAATGCAATCTTTGGAATCACAATCTAAATTAACTACACAGTTAAATAATGATGCACAAATTAAAGTTCAAACTCCTGTAAGTTAATAACCTATATTTAAAAACAATACTGTATTCAATTCTCTTCTAAATTCATAAAATATGTTTTTTTTTTAGACCAAAACATCAGAAAATGATAAAGAAGTCTCTATTCGAATGGAAGATCAAATAGAATATTTTTCTGTAGTTCGTGAACTTGATGCTGCCAATTTTACGATCAAACAACTTAACGAGAAACTTGAATCTAATAGTGTTGCTCGTTTACGATTAGAGCAACATGTACAAGAGTTAAATCTTCAAATAAATGAATTACAAAAAAAACTCAAAGCTTCTAATATTAAGCATTCTGAAAATGCAGAAAATATAGATAACTTGCATGATAAAATATTATCTTTAGAAACAGTAAGTTTCTTTTAATATCTAAAAATAGTTATGTTTATCAATAATATTTGTAAAAACTAGGAAAATCAAGAGATGAAAATTGAAATAGACAAAATAAAAAACCAATGTAACATTTTAAAAAAAGATAACGATAGTATGTATATCTCAAACATGAATTATTCTCGTGAATTAAGACAAAAAACAGAGTTGCAAAAGGAATTTGAG